TACATCAAAGGCCAAGAGCCCCCCTACCATCAGAAGTAACGAGTACCCTAGCATTCCTTACATCAGTGTACCCTCCCTTTCCTTGTGCTGCTGCCAGGAAGAAAGAAGCCGGGGGTGAAGCTAGGAAGCAGAAAGTGCAAGGTCTGGAGGAGAACCAGTCTGCTGAATGCTGACACCAGTGGAGATGGAGATGAAGGGGTGCTGCTGACTGGTGAGAAAAGGTGGAGGCAGAGACCCTGGTGCAGGAGAGGTGCAAGGCCACATGAGATGGCCTAGTAGGCTGGATTCAGCCTTGGGCCTTGTGTTTGACACATGTTATACCCCAATAAAAGTGACTGACCTAATTGACTAAAGTGGCTATATTAAAAAAAAAAAAAAAAAAAAAATCCACACATTTTTCTAAACAAACACCATGCATATATTGTACTTGCTCCTGAGGTGGTGTGTGTGTCACACAGAATGTGGCTTAGCCCTGCCCCCCCTCCTCACTGGCTGTGGCTCCCGCTGCTGTATCTCTGACAATGAGGGGAGAGAGGCTCAGGAGAGCCTCTGCTCTAATACACATTGCTGGATCAAGATCAGACTCTGGTAAGTATGCATGAAGGTAAATACCTTTAGCCTTTACAACCACTTTAAAGGATAAGTTCACCTTTTGGACAAAAATAATTGCTCATTTATTTTGAAGGTGAAAAAAATGTGCGTGTTGGTTTTTTTTTTTTTTTTTTTTTTTTTTTGTTTTTTATTATTTTTGTCCAAAGGAGCCTGGAAAGCATTGCAACAACAATCAGTAGATGGCTGATGCCATGCAAGTCTCCCGCAGACCTGTCAGAATATCTGCTTGCTGTACAGGAAGTATGGTCATGCAGATATACTGACAGGAAGTTTCAATGAACTACCAGGGAGCACCACAGCGCTGTGGTAGTTCATTGAAAACTACAAGCCCACAGCCGCTGAGGCTGTCAGGACTTGTGGACACTCATTTACTGAACTCTGTGAATGCGTGACGCGGCCATTTAAAAACGGGTGGAACATGTAACCTTCCAAAGGTGAGCTTATTCTTTAAATGTAATTGCCCAGACGTGCCTTCTCATGTTTTGCATTATCTTGGAGCCTCAAAACCTGGAACGCCATTTTGTCAATATAAATTCCTTCATTTTCAAAATTGGTGGTAAGGCCTTTACTCTCCCATGCTGCCTTCCTTTTTTGTTGTTCCTTTTAGACTGCGAGCATGATTTTATTGGACCATCAACTGGTCCTTACTACTTGCCAGGATAACATGGGGATAGAGTGAAATTGTCAAAAGTGAAAAAAATCCCAGAAAAGTAATACTGGAAATCTTCCAATGGGTCTGCTAGTCCCCCACCCCAAGTGATTCCCTTAATTTGCCAGGATTTCCTCTTCCTGTTATGGCTATGGGACAGGAAGTGAAAGGGAAATCTCCCCAATAGGGTTATGACCCCCTTTACTCTTTCCAATATTGAGTTGCCTATAGTTTTCTTTAACTGAACAAGCTTCAAATTGAAGCTGATTGATTTCCATGCACAGCTGCTCAAGATTCTGTCTGCTCCAGTTTTAATAAACTCCTACCATACTATATAAACATAAGAATGGAAAAGAATTAGCAGCTTTGTGACAATAGTGTACTTTATTTACCTTGTGAGCTCACAAATATGTCCTTCCTTTACGTGTAACTCGCTCAACAGAAATCAGTGGCATTCAAATGTGTATAGGGAAATGCTTGTTATAGCTCCAAGTTAAACATTTGTCATTCAAATAACCTTTTGATTTCTATAGGCAAAGTGGTTAGTTTTTGTTTGTGTATACAGAATAATAGCCCTTTTTGTTCCTTGATGAATTTACATACCAATTTTCCTTACAGTAATTTGTTTCAACTACTGTTGAATTTTATAATCCTGTGTTTTTTTTTTTTTTTTTGTTTTGTTCCCACCACAGTAATTTTTATTGGCTCACGGTTAAGTGTGCATTTTTTTCTTAAAGCGTAGTAAAGTTTCCCCCCTGCAAGGTAAAGTCATAATATACTAATATTCCATAATGTGCTAGCATGCTATGCAAACTTTCCTTAAAACGAAGCCCTCCAGTGGCATGCTGTCACCGCTGATAAGTCTTCCATCTGCACCCGGTCTTCTTTTGGGGTTTGCAGACTTCGGCTGCCTGACTAGTGTCGCCACGATGACTGCACCCCTGCGTGGGATCCCTGGGGTACGACGGTATAGAGCTCTTACCGAAATGGCACAGGTATACCGTTCCTTCAGAACCCATGAGCCGGTAACATCACAGGTTGCTGCACACTGGATTATCTCCTAAACGGTTCACATTTAGGAGATATTCAGTTTACCTAAGGTGTGTGTTTTGTAGTTTGTTTGTGTTTTTTTGTTATCTTGCCTGTAGGTAAAAATGTCACACAAGGCTTTGCTACCACTTTAATGCCTAATGTCTGTTCATAGTTCATGGGGGGGCACACTGCTGCCAATGGGGCTTTGTCACTCCCAGTTTCAGATTCCCAACCAGAATTTTCCCAAAGAGGAACTTCACCCTTATATGAGAAATTACAACAAAGGCACCCTTAGAAATGTTTAATAATGACATTCTATGAACAGATACTTATAGACAATTGCAGGCTTTTTTTTTTTTCTTTATATACCTTATTTCTTTTCCTCCTCCATTTTTTTTTTTTTTTTTTTTTTTTTTTTTTTTTTTTTTTTTTTTTTTTTTTTGGCTATTTTCAGTAAGGGCGGAGGAATCCATCTCTTTATGTACTGGCACTATGCCTGCAGCTTTGCCTCCTGGAACAAGCGACCGTGCACATCATTTGAGGGGCAAGGCACTGGTGATGTAGCCTTTCCAGGAAGCATCTGTGAGGCCCTGGTACATCACCAGTGCCTCACTCAAATGGAAAGCAAGAAACTGTAATTGTAAGTAAAGGCAAAAAATATTTTAATGAATGTAAGCTTTCATATTGACACACAGAGTTGCATGCTGGTTTGATTTTTAGTGAAAGGTCAGCCTTGAAGCATTCCATTCTCGACTTTCTTAACTTTTAAAGGATAAGGTCACCTTTCATAACATCTTCCATATTCAGGGTGTAACATGTTACTCTTCTCCCCCCTCGCTAGCTGTCAAATTTATAAAAACAAACTGCTGAGCAGGCCTCCATCCCAGTCGCATCACTCATTCACAGTCCTCTGTGAATGCGAGACTACAAGTCCTGACAGCATGAGTGGCTGTCGGCTTGTAGTCCCCAAAGAACTACCATGACGTTGTGGAACACTGTGGTAGTTGGTAGTTCACTTATCCTTCCTGTCAGTATATCTGCTGCTCATACATTCCGTACGGACAAGCAGATATACAGACCGGTCTGCAGGAGACCTGCAAGGCATCCGTGATCTGCTGATCGGTAATGCTTTGCAGGCTCCTGCAGATAAAAATAATAGATGCACATTATTTTTACCTGCAATAAAATGTGCATTTTATTATTTTTTACTAAAAGGTGAACTTATCCTTTTTTTAAAAAGGAATTCCAGGTATGGATTTTCTTATGTAGTTACATTGGTCCAACCTGAATCAATGTAAGATGCATATATACCATACCTATGGGATCATCTACAGCAGAAGCAGGTAATGACCTTATTAGACTCCACTACTCCAGTGGTCTCCACTAGCTTCCGGATCCTGTGCTGAGCCACTTCCTTGGTACATTCTGAACACGGAGGCAGGCTGCTTGGCATGGGTGCCCTTCAGAGATGGCTTTGCATTTTCTGTTTGCACAAAGTGGAGATGCAGGGTAGTGATGTCACACTCTCCACCTCATCCAATCAATGACTGCTTTGCATTAATTGAAACAATACTTAGAATTGAACTCTACAAATTCAGCCATTTTGTAAAATGTGCTAACATACTAGAAGTTAATTTTGTATCTATAAAACAGAGGATGGGTCTGGAATATTTTAGTATTGTATGTTACCCCCCCCCCCCCCCACCTGGCGTGGCACCATCCCAACAAAGATCTAGAACAAGTATCTGGAGTGTACAGTTGCATCCGGTAAAACTGGGTGGTCCTATTCCATCTCCAGCAAAAATGGGACTTTGTGTCAAACACTGGAAGGATAAATCTGTAATATCACATTACACAGCAGTAATAAACTATATTTGCTTTTATTGGTTCATCATTAAAAAAGAAAATTAAGTCACACTTCACATATTAAACCAGATGGTCTTTAAAGATGATGTCCACATGTGGTTGCATTCATATTACAGAGAAATACACAATAAGCATATGGGATCAACGCATTTCACTGTACTTCTTCAGGATCCACGCATTAGATGACCCACTATAACAATATAGAGTATACAATCCTTTTATGGTTAAGAATAACAAGTTGGTTCTTATATCTGACGAGCAGCAATGTAACGTATACAATTTAAAATCACCGTTTCAGATAATATTTCAATATGTTTTGCATTGTAAGCTGAGAGGTGTGTGCCTTTTCATTTCATGTCCAATCCATCACCACAGGTGGACTCCAATCAGTATATATTACTATTACAATATTGTTGCAAAGGGTCTGAATACTTACGCCTATGTGATATTTCAGTTTTTTTTTTTTGTTTTTAATAAATTCAGACAATTCTAAAATTTTCACTTTATCACTATGGGGTACTGTGTAGACCGAGAGGAAAAAAAATGAATTTAAACAACTGTAGTATCCCCCATGCTGCAACACAATAAAACTGAAATAAGTGAAGTAAATGCTAGCCTGCCATACAATTAATTACTGTGTGTGTTCTGTATTAAAGCCTAATAAGTGTGGTCTTTTTGTTTGTTTTTTTTTGTTTTGTTTTTTTACACACCATATATGAATATTTATTGTGCAGTCATTGTTCTGGAAAAGTTGTATGCACGGATAATTATTTTGGGTATAATTAGAAGTAATTTTTCAGAAATGATTACAGGCGCTCATGTCAGTGGTTTTTCTCCTTAGCTAATCTTGTGCTGCATCAGACCGTAGAGCGGATACACGTTGGGAAGAAATATGGTGATATCCCTAGGGGAATATTTGTTGTGAGAGGCGAGAATGTGGTTCTCCTCGGGGAAATTGTAAGTAGGCTAATTAAATAATTTTACAGTCTAGTTTATATGGAAATTGTTTGTTTTTAACATGCCTTGCATAATGCAAGGTTGAGCATCTAGTGTAAATCCCTAAAACTTACTTGACACCATTTGGGTGTCCTGCATTCAGAGGTGAAGACAGGATTAGAGTGTAGACATGATCTATAGACCTGCTGCTGTTCCTCCAATGCCCAATCAGGTTCTGCAGCCTGGTCACCTCCCTGCTCCCAGAGAAAAGTAAGGATAACAAACTGTGGTTTTTAAATCGAAGAACTGGATAGACAGAAATACAAATCCTTTGGCCAGTATTTCACTGTCTAGTTGCCTGGAATTCAACTTTAAATCTTCTGTCAGCCTCTTAATCATCCTGCTATTACTTTTTTAGACAAGCCTTTTCTGTTTTGGCCCTTATTAGACAGCTTCACTTTTTTGGGTCTGAAGCTGAACCTTTTGCACTTGATGATTGTCCTTTCCCCATTTACAGCACTTTTGTGGACAACAATGGTTGCAGAGGAGAGGACAGGGCTTGACTAATTTGCTTTGCATCTAGGAGCCAGCTTTTTCATGCCACCTGCTCCGATGCTGAGCTGTCTGGCTGTCTCCAGTGCATTGATTTCTATGAGTAGGGCACCCTTGGCTGTGTGTGGAGGACAGACAGGCTCCAGAGTAATGCGGGGCCCCCACTTCTTACTGTAGGAGCTGAGGGGTGGCAGCGAGACAGGCAATCCAGTGGCATGGCAGATTATGGTAACACCGAAGCTGGGTAGTCCTTTCACATCCTCTGCCTGGAAGACAAAGCAGGATTGGGATGTGACAGTGTCTGGGACCCCTGAACAGAGCAGACTGGGAGCCTATAGAGGTCCTGGCTCAACCTGCCATTGTCTGGGGGGTAAAGCCATAATCCCAGATACAACGTTTCGTCTGTCTGCTCCATTCCCCCACCCATGGCCCCCGGATACAGGCACACAGGGGCCACACTGGACCCCCAGGTGTCATCTGCCACAACAAAAGTGATTTAACCCCTGAAGGGCTGACCTCTTGTCTCTCCCCTCCCCAAGCCAGCGTGCTTCCTGCTCTTACCAGGCAGATAGTATGCAGTGGCCTCCCTGGGTTTTCTGGTTAAAATGGTGGATGAGGAGGGAGAGGCCAAGGTGGAGCTCTCCACTCCCTGGCATCTCTGTTCAGAGTGGCAGCACCCCCGGCATCCCTGAGCTTCATCCCTCTCTCTCCCCATCACCACACAGGTGGCCTCGCTGCCTACTCTGCTCTCAGGCGAGCACACAAGGGAGTCAGTGTGGGAAATGAGCACAGGCCCTGCCCACCACACTGCTTTTCCTCCCACCCCACACTCAAGAATCCTCCAGCAAGCCCAGTTGAAGTAAAAGCAAGGCTGAGCTGGCCCAAGCTGTGAGGAAAGTGTGGGTGCTGGCCGTTAGTTTGGGGAGGGTGGAGACTCCTCTCCAGGTGACCAGTAGATCAATAGGAATTGCAGATTATGCCTGGGGCCAACAGTGAATAGGCTGACAAAAGCCCAGGCGCCAGGACGCAATTTCTAGTTGCCATGGTGACCTGGTGTCTGGGATTTGTCAAGCCCTGGAGAAGTAATGGGCAAGTTCCTGTGAAATGCCAAATCTGTTACAGATCAAGATGGCCATGATTGTGTGGAGAAGTGTTTGGGTGGTCCACGATACCCATGTGGGTGGGCAGCCTTGGCTCGCCAAAGCGCTTGATATGCCTGTACGATTGGACGTGTGTGTGTGTGTGTGCGCGCGACAGAATGTATGCAAAGAATCTACTAAATGGTTGTTTGACTTGGCATACATGCTCCTAGCTTCTGATTTTACACCAGCTAAGCTGTGGTGTACCTTTTTTGTTTAAAAATAAAACAAACTTTTTATTTTTAATGTATACAAAAAAAGGATTCAATGGACAGGATCAACAGATAATTGCTGTGTTTTTGTTATTGACAGTCTGCATCAAATGTAATTTTTGGTTTTTCATATTAAGCTAGATTAAATTTTCCAGGTGATTACACGAATCATGTTTTTTGTACTTTTTCATGCAGGACCTAGAGAAAGAGAGTGACACTCCATTACTTCAAGTTTCCATTGAGGAGATCTTAGAGGAGCAGCGCGTAGAGCAGCAAAGCAAGCAGGAGGCAGAGAAGGTGAAGGTACAGGCCTTGAAGGAACGGGGTCTGTCTATTCCCAGAGTGGACACCTTGGACGAGTACTAAGCTTCTAATGGGACAATTGGACACTGAATGTTTTCTTTCTTGCAGTAGTAATGTCCCCAAATGTATATTTTGTTTTTTGCTGCTTTGGTTTGGACTTGTCTATTGCAGCAGTGCTATACAGCAGTCATCTAAGTTTGTGAATTGAGTTAAGTTGCACACAGTGGTGATGCCAAGCCAAAATCACTTGTATTAAAGGATTACCATAATGGGGAGGATGCCCTATTAATGGGTTTCATGGTTCAATTTTTATTTTAAAATTACATGCTTCTGTTTAATAACATGTAATAGAATTATGCTAAAATGACTTTTTTTAGTTGTGCTTATTTTTTGTGATTTTAAATTGGAAAGCATCTGTTGTCTATTGAACAGCATTGTGGTCTGAATTGGGGGAAAGACTTGGACATGAATTTAAAAAAAAATGTATATAATATATTTCTATAATTGCTTTGAACATGTCTGCACCAGTGAACACTGTGCCTTATATGCACAAGTGGATACTAGCAGGTATAGTGATTTAGTTAGTGAGAGCCAGGATGCGGAGTGAAAATTTGGCAAACAAGCTGTGTTCGCTGAGCGGTTTTTAAATGCAAATATTTCAAGTCTGAGGAGAGTTTAAAGGGATAGTACAGGGTTTGTTAAATGGAGGGGGGGGGGGGGGGGGGGGGGGGGGGGGGGGGGGGGTGTGATTAAACCAGGGATCTCATATATAATAAATGACTCTGTTCACACTGTTGGTGTTGATGGAGCACATGCATTTCTGCATGTTGTATGTATGGCAGTCCATTCATTTTCAATAGGCTGCCCTATGTGTGAAAAGTGTGTGTGGGGGTATTTTTTTTTTTTTTGCCTGCATTCCTGACATGTGCAAAGTGTGAACCTCGCCTAAAGAGAATTTGCGATTTTTGATGACTTTTAAGGTCAAAGTGACAACTGCTCTTGATGGGCCATTTCCCCCCCCGATTCTTGCCGTACTCCCTTACATCTTGTCTGCAGGAGTATGGAGTCTAACCCCTGTGTAAGCTCCATTTTTATCTGTGTTTGTACTTCGAGTTAAAAAAAAAAAAAAAACCCCATCTCTTCCACCACGCAATTATCTTGTGTCCTGGTTTTGGGCAAGCTGGGACTAGATATTTCTAGATGCAGAGTGGTGATGTAGTGTGCGGAGGAAACTAAAAAAATACTTTGCCCTGGAAGAGCAAAGTGATAGATTATTTTTAATAATACTAAAGTTAACTTTCCATCTGCAACCATTCAGAATATTACAGAACTGAAGAGTTTACAATTCCTGCAAAAGTCATCCACGTCCCCATGTCCAGAGCCTACATGTTAAACCTTTTTAATAGGAGGGTTAACCAAATATTTAGCACCAGTATTTGGGACCTAAAGAGAAAAAAAAAATGTACACATGACTAAGCCTCAACAGTTTAAAAAAGCTACATGTGCCAAGTATTTCCAATGGCACTTTTTATTTATTTTGATCAATTTGCTCTTTGTAAAATAAAAATATAGCTATTCATCTTGGAATTGTACCACCCAAATCAAAGGAATGAAAATTCCTTCTAAATATGTCTCCAAACCTGATACTGAGAAAGTAATTAAAAGTGTAAAAGAAAATGCTTGATCATGAGAAATCCAAAGTTACGGTACATATGTTAAAGGCATGAATCTTTTTTTTTTTTTTTGCTTTCAGTAAATGGTGTGTTCCTATAGGGCAGCAAGAACTGCAGCCACATGTTCTTGGTAACAGTTGATCAATCCTGCACATTTGAAATTGTAAGCCTGTTCCTCATGGCAGAACAGCTCCACCTGGGAATGTTGCTCAGTTTTCTCACATAAACTGCCTGTTTCTGGTCCTTCCACAACCTTTCTTTTGGATTAAAGTCTGACTATGCTGCTTTTTAACATTCTTCTGCTTTAAAGTGTTACTAAACCCAGGTCCCTGCAATCACTATATCTGGTCTCCCACAGTACACAGAACATGGAAATGCAATTATTTTAGTAAATATAAACTGCTACATGCCTTTTCTCATCAGTATATACACTATATTGCTAAAAGTATTGGGACACCCCTCCAAAACATTGCATTCAGGTGTTCCCATCGCCTCCATGGTCACAGATATATAAAATCAATCACCTAGGCATGCGACTGCTTCTACAAATATTTGTGAAAGAATGGGGTGCTCTCAGGAGCTCAGTGAATTCAAACGTGGTACCATGATAGGTAAGTACCATGATAGGTAAGTCCATCCATGAAATTTCCTTGCTACTAAATATTCCACGGTCAACTGTTAGTGGTATTATAACAAAATGGAAGCAACTGGGAACAACAGCAACTCAGCCACGAGGTGGTAGGCCACGTAAAATGTAAGAGCAGGGTTAGAGCATGTGTGCAGAAGTTGCCAACTGTCTGCAGCGTCAATAGCTACAGAACTCCAAACTTCATGTGGCCTTCAGACTAGCGCAACAACAGTGCGTAGAGAGCTTCATGGAATGGGTTTCCATGGCCGAGCAGCTGCATCCAAGGCTTACATCACCAAGTGCATTGCAAAGCATCAGATGTCGTGGTGTAAAGCACGCCGCCACTGGACTCTAGAGTAGTGGAGACATGTTCTCTGGAGTGACCAATTACGCTTCTCAGGCAATTCAATGGATGTGTCTGGGTTTAGCGGTTGCCAGGAGACTGGTACTTGCTTGACTGTATTGTGCCAAGTGTGAAGTTTGGTGGAGGGGGGATTACGGTGTGGGGTTGTTTTTCAGGGGTTGGGCTTGGTCCCTTAGTTCCAGTGAATAGAACTCTTACGGCGTTCGCATAGGCAGACATTTTGGACAATTTCATGCTCCCACCTTTGTGGGAACAGTTTGGGGATGGCCCCTTCCTGTTCCAACATGACTGCGCACCAGTGCACAAAGCAAGATCCATAAAGACATGGATGAGAGTTTGGGGTGGAGGAACTTGACTGGCCTGCACAGAGTCCTGACCTCAGCCTGATAGAACACCTTTGGGATGAATTAGAGTGGAGACTGTGAGCCAGGCCTTCTCGTCTGATATCGGTACCTGGCCTCACAAATGCGCTTCTGGAAGAATGGTCAAACATTCCCATAGACACCCTCCTAAACCTTGTGGACAGCCTTCCCAGAAGAGTTGAAGCTGTTATAGCTGCAAAGGGTGGGCCAACTCTTTGTTGAACTCTACACCATTAAAGTTCATGTGTGTTTAAAGTCAGGCAATCCAATACTTTTGGTAATATAGTGTGTGTATATGTGTATGTATATGTATATGTGTGTGTGTGTGTGTGTGTATGTGTATATGTATGTATGTGTATATGTATGTATGTGTATATGTATGTATGTGTATATATATATATATATATATATATATATAAAAAAAGCCTTCTTTTTATTTGTTACAGATACTTAACAGGTTCCCGCCCAGCCTATAGCCAGATGGCGGCCGCAAAACCCCTCATCCCTCCGGGTGGACGCCATATGGCATCCTTTCGGGCATGCGCAGTTTGCCTGCCCACAGAGCCGTGCAGCGGCGCGATCTGTCACCGGCTGTGTACCTCGGACACGGCCGATGACAGATCGGAGTACCGGCCCCGTTGCCCGGACCATGTGACCAATCAGAGCAAGTCACATGACTTGCATGCTATCCATTGTGTACTAGTGTGTCTAGCTGTGAATGGTCACAGCGATCACATGCAAAAGCTGGGCCAATCACAGCCCAACTGTGTCATGTGATTAGCCGTGGCCAAATCACAGCTAACCACACAAAAAAAAAACCCTGAATGAATCGATGTCATTCAGGTAAATGTTTGGTTATAGCAAAGTAATTCTTTGCTATAAGCAAATTTGTGTAAAAAAAAAAAAATACTGATCATTTCCCCAAATTAGTACAATGTTACTATGGTAGCATTGTACTACTTTGGTCATAGTGAAATATGAAATACAAATCTTAAAAAAAAAAGAAAAAAAAGTAATAAAAAAATTAAAACAAACAAAAAAAAAATTTTAAATTCTAATTTTTTTTTCATACTGTAACCAATCAGTGTCCCTGATCACTGCCATGCCAGTTATATGACGACACTGTACTGGTGACAGTATGTAAAAAAAAAAAAATAGTGAAAATAATTTTTTTAATTTTTTCATTTTCTGAAAAGTTATGACAAAAAAAATTACAACTTCAAAAAACTCGAAATACATCGGACTGTCTAATTTGCAAAAAGGGGTAATTTGGGGGATATCGGTCTTGACATTTTTGGACCTCAAGAAATTAGATTGGCCGTCAGTACTTCAGGATTGATCAATAATCAGATCTATACCATAGTTTGTGAACTCTATAACTTTTCTAAAAACTAAATAATACTTCCTAATTTGGGTTATTTTCACCAAAGACATGTAGCAGAATACATCTCGGCCTAAATTTATGAAGAACAATTATTTATTTGCAAACTTTTATAACAGAAACAAAGAAAAACATGGGTTTTTTTTCAAAATTTTCGGACTTTTTTGTTAATTTAGCAAAAAATAAAAACCCCAGCTATGATTAAATACCACCAAAAGAAAGCTCTAGTTGTGTGAAGAAAATGATAACATTTTAGTTTTGGTACAATGTTGTATGACCGTGCAATTGTCATTCAAAATGTGAGAGAGCTGAAACCTGAAAAATGGCCTGGGCAGGAAGGGGGTAAAAGTGCCCAGTATGGAAGAGGTTATATAGTGCCACCAATTTATGTAGCGCTTTACATATATATTTGTACAATCACATCTGTCCCTAACCCTCAAGGGGTGTACAATCTAAGGTCCCTAACTTACATTCATACATATATTAGACAGGATCCAATTAACCTACCAGCATGTCTTTGAAGTGTGAGAGTATCCGGAGGAAACCCACGCAGGCACGGGGAGAACATGCAAACTCCAGGCAGGTGGTGCCATAGTTTGTATTTGAATGGACGACCCTAGTACTGCCAGGCGGAAGTGCTATCCATTTAGCCACT